ATATCTCAAACCTCAGTTCACTAAACCTGTGAACCAAACCAGTCATCCAGAAATATCTCAAACCCTGGTCCACTAAACCCGTCAACCAAACCAATAGTGTGGGCGCTAGCATGTTTTATTATTCTTTCTTGCCAACATGGCATTGGAATGAACTGTGAAAGCCTGGATGCTACAATCAACAACTTTATTATTCCATACACACACACGTGCATACATTAGCATGCATAAAATCTGATATAATGAGATATACATGTGGTTAAACAAACAAAAGAATTCTGAAGTAAATCAGGGTTCATAGCCAAATTTACCAATCAATTTCAAGGCTTTTCAAGGTCTTTTTCAAGGTCTTCTTAGTTTTTTTCAAGGTTGTCTCGGTGTAATACTAATACAAGATTTTTGCCTTGTTCAAGGGTGTACTGAGCACACAAGGTACTTCATTTGTGCCACATGTGTTGGTATACCAGCACAGATATCATCATCATGTAGCATTTCCTTTGTCCTGACAAAAAAAAACTCGGTCTCTCACCAGCTCTCCCGCCTCATGTACTTTTTTATACTCAAGGAGTCACTTATATCCTGTGTCCATCTTCGTGTTGGTCGGCCCCTGAGCTTGATATAGTGTTTGAAATTTTTTTTTAGGGCTTGGTGGTAGAGGGCAGCAAACTGAAGTCCTGTCTGTTCTGGACCTGGTACCTGAGAGGGTTAGGGGAGAGAGAGAGAGTCATGAAGAGAGAGGAAGACACATGCTGAGGTAGGCTGGGAGAGACAGTGTAAAGATGGACAGATGAAGGTAGAGAAAAGAAGGAAAAGAAGTCTGGGGAAGGAGGAAAAAATGAGAGGGAGGGATGGAAACATGATGAGGAAAAGTGGGGAAGGGACAGCGAAAGACAGAGAGGGAGACAAATACAGAAAGAGGGAATGCAGATACAGAGATGGGCAGATGAAAAGAGAAGGAAAAAAGGGAACGAAACAGAGATATGGAAGGAGGAAAATATGACAAAGAGTTGAAAGAAGGGAGACAGAGGGAGAGAGAACGGACAGGGTGAGAAGCAGATGCAAGCAGAGAGAGATGTAGACATAAAGGAGAGAGAGAGACAAAGGGACAGCACAGAGAGGCAAGCAGACAGAGGGAGAGAACCAAAGAAAGAGAAAAAAGGCAGAGCAGGAGAATGGGAGGGAGGTATACAAAGAGGAAGTGATGAAGGGAGGCAAACAGACATAAAGCAAGAGAGAGAGAGAAAGGTGGGTAAGGAAGGCAGTGACAAACACAGATTAAGAGAGGGGGGAAGGAAGGGAGACAAGATACCTCAAAGAAAAAAAACAGCCACCCACTCCCCCCCCCCCCCCCCCCCCCCCCCCCCCCCCCCCCCCCCTCCCCCCCCCCCCCCCCCCCCCACACAATTTCAAGTGTAGTGGACACAACCACTAGGAAAAGATAGTTATGGGGCAAAAAAAATATGTAGATGAACCAGGTAAAAAAAATGGGGGGGGGGGGGGGGGGGGGAAGAGAATGAGAGAGGGGAGCGGGTAAGGAAATCTAGAGAAAATGAAAAGACAGGATGGAGAGGAGACAAAGAAGAGATGGGACAGGAGAAAGGGCAAGGAAAGGAAGAGAGGAAGAATAAAGAGATAAAGGAGAATAGTAGAAGATCAAAGGAAAGAGAAGGGGTGAGAGAAGAAAGGTAAGACACGGTTGTGGGGGTGGGGGGTGTAAGAACAATGAGTGCCCAAAATAGAATTAGGAAATCTCTAAGTGAGGCCACTTTTCCGGTTCCTACCCTCTCCCAATGTGAATGTGGCCGTGGTCCAAAAACAACAGTGCTAACCCCTACTGCCCCTTGCTTGTCCTATCTGTGTGTGACAACAATAATTCAATTTCTTACACTTAAGGCTGGTGACCTGAGAGCCAAGGTCATTTTATGAAGAAAAAAAAAAGTCCAGGGGATCCCAACCCACCACTGGTGGAAAATAGAGAAGTTTACCCACACACATAAATAGGTCAGACACATAAATAGGTCAGGGCAGCAGTGGACTTCATTTTATTTCTGGTTTTCCAATTACAGAAAGGAGGGGAGAGAGGAGGTGGTGGAAAGTGGTGTAGAAGGCTGAGGTGGTAAGGGTGAGACAGAGGAGGTGAGAGAATAAAGTTTAAGAAAATAAAGTGGGAATGAGACAGGGAGAGAAAGAAGGGAGTAAGAAATAAGATGAGATATAGAGGGAAGAAGGTAGCAGGAAGGGGTGCACTCCCTCCCCTAGGTGTCATCAATGTGGGAGGAGAAAAGGGGGGGGGGGAAGGTGACGGCAAATGTGTTTTTAAAAGTACACATATATTTAATGTGTGGGAGGGGGGGGAATGATGGACATGAAATGTTCTGCACTAGGCAACACATAACCTTATACACCAACTGAAGGTATGGAGAAAGAAAGAAAGAGAGAGAGAGAAAGAGAGGGAGGGAGTGAGGGAGAGCGGCAAATACAAAGAGAGAGAGGAAAGCAGTGACACAGACAGTCAGAGAGTGAGGAACAGGTAGGACAAAAATGTGAGGGGGCGGGAAGGGAGATGGACAGAGATTAAGGCCGCTAGGAAAACAAAAACACATCAAAAGAAAATATCCACCATGTTCACACAGAATGCCCCCCCCCCCCCCCCCCCCCCCCCCCCAACCCCCCCCCCCCCAATACAACTTCCTGTGTACTTGAGTTGCTAGGAAGAGTTATGGAGCCGCACATTTACTAAACATTTAAACAAGAAATAAAATAGGAAAAAGGGGGAGGGGGGACAGGAAATGAGAGATTAAAAGAAAAGATAGAGAGAAAGAGAAGAAGATGAAGATCAGAAGGGAGGGTTAGAGACAATGCAGGAGACGGGAAGGAAGGAGCAATAGGTAGAAGAGTGAAAGAGGGAGGGAAGAGAGAGAGAGAGGGGTGAGACAACAGAAGAGGGAATCTCGGGGAATTACAATACTGATCGCCAAACACACTGTAAAGATAAATCCAGGCCAAAAATAGAACTGGGAAATCCAGCTGCAGTCACTTTGCTTAGCCCCAATGCCATCTCTAATTAATAGAGAAGGCCGTGCTTAGCCCCCACCACGGCGACTCTATTTATAAATACAACTGCACCGAGCCCCACCATCTCCCAATGTAATCCTTTCTAGAAACCACGGCCATAAACGATTTAAACTGTTCATTCTGCCGGACTCGCTAGAAACAAAGGCACACACACACGCGCGCGAGACGGAATCTGCTACTTCCCGCCCCATGCCACACCGCTGCTGTCTGCATGTTTTCATGATCAGCAACAAAGCCCGCCCCTCCCTGGCCTTTAACAAGCCATTTCGGCTGAAAATAGCCAATAATCAGCTGCCCTCACACCTGAAACGACCATACAACGAAAGTAGCCAAAAACTAGCCAAATGGCCAAAAAAGCCAAATGGCTCCCTCAAAATTGCCTGTGCTGAAAAACACAGGATTTCTGACGATTTCATTGCCGCGGTCAAAATTCACGGGTTTTTAAGGTCGGAATGTCTTTTATAAGCTAAAAATCCCGGTTCAAGGTCAACGAAAAAAATCCCGGTAATTTCCCGATTTCCCGGTCCACTACGAACCCTGGTAAATGGTAAAGGAAGAAATGTCTATGCTGTTCTGGCATATGAAGTATTTGATGTGAGGCTTGTACATCATAATCTAACTGGCACTCTCTGGAGGGGGACCTAGTGGTAGGTGGAACCCACTGCAGCAGAAAACTACAGCAGTGGAACTACTGTAGCAGATGCTATTCGTGGGTTGTCAAATTTTAGGCTTTTGCATATTCCAGCCCTCCCCATGTGAGTTTGAGGCCCCATTTGGACCCACTGCCCGCTAGAAAAAAACATAGTCATAAAAAGTTTGATGAAATAAGTGGTGTGTTCAGTTGGAAAGAGCAGCTATGGCAGCCGATCTGTAAACCACACAAAAATGTGTTAACCGCCCCTTCAGGGTGAGTAATGAAATTGCTCCCTGATATTACAATAATTGTTTTACAGTAAATATCTTATGAATAAACATTGTAAGAAAAAGGTGTACCTTGGTATACCAATGATTCCATAAGCAAGGCTTATAACATGGATGTGCAAGCCAAACTCAAGTCGTGGAACAAGGCCAATCCGTGAATGTGAATAGAAAGAAAAGGGTAGGTGCCAAACCCGGATTACTGTCTCTGGCCTACAGTAGAGTCAAGGTCTTATTTTCTGGTGTTGGAGTGTTTTGGATGTAAGGTGCTAGCCCAAACTTACCCCAGACCAGTCAGTGTCCAAAGGACCTCGTCACCCAGACCAGTCAGTGTCTGTCTGAAGGACCTCGTCACCCAGACCAGTCAGTGTCTGTCTGAAGGACCTCGTCACCTAGACCAGTCAGTGTCTGTCTAAAGGACCTCGTCACCCAGACCAGTCAGTGTCTGTCTGAAGGACCTCGTCACCCAGACCAGTCAGTGTCTGTCTGAAGGACCTCGTCACCCAGACCAGTCAGTGTCTGTCTGAAGGACCTCGTCACCCAGACCAGTCAGTGTCTGTCTGAAGGTCCTCGTCACCCAGACCAGTCAGTGTCTGAAGGACCTCGTCACCCAGACCAGTCGGTGTCTGAAGGACCTCGTCACCCTGACGAGTCAGTGTCTGAAGGACCTCGTCAGAATCATGTTGGCTCACTTCACTTCTAAGAATTATCCTGGTATTCATTTTATTGCTGAGATGACCTGGGAATCTAGTTAAAGTTAAAAATCCATCTCTAATGGTGTTGAAATCTATGACCAGCAAGCAAGTATAGTAATCAATAAAACTATATGAGGATTTAGTATATGGTTCTATCAAAGATCCATGATAACACTGCACTGACTAACATAAGAAAGAACAACAATCACATTAACAACATGTAGTGTCTGCACAACTTGAGAACCACTGAAGGCCACAAGCCTCATACAATGAATGCAGTCAGCGACAGACAGGCGGGAACCCCTGTGTGCACAATCAACTCTCAGTCCACTCCAGCCCAATGGTTTGGTAGATGAAGCTGTAGATGTCCGTGATTTCCTCAATCTGAGGAGGAGAGCCAAAACTCTGTTACAAATGGCAGACAAGAAACTGATACACATTCAGAAAATATTGTGTGCTCTCTCCACAATTAAGGCTGACTACAGTGAAGCCACTGCCATCCTGGTGATATTACATGGTCAGACATACACCTCTTTCATCAGACATAAACCTCTTCCACAGTGTGGATCTCATACCTCAGACTGACAACCACCAGAACATTTTTTTCTCTTCTAAATAAAGCGCCCACTGCGGAAACAGAGCCCCAGTACAAGAGGATCATGAAAGTGTTTACTGCGTTCACTAACCTCTAAGAAATGGAGCTGCCTTACAATAAGATACATTCAGAAATGGATATGATTGGTTGTAAAACAATACAAACCTGACAACGTGTTTGTGGTATACATCTGGCAAACATGACTATGTGTTTGTGGTATACATCTGGCAAACATGACTATGTGTTTGTGGTATACATCTGGCAAACTTGACTATGTGTTTGTGGTATACATCTGGCAAACATGACTATGTGTTTGTGGTATACATCTGGCAAACTTTATGTATTTGTAGTATACATCTGGCAAACTTGACTATGTGTTTGTGGTATACATCTGGCAAACATGACTATGTGTTTGTGGTATACATCTGGCAAACATGACTATGTGTTTGTGGTATACATCTGGCAAACTTGACTATGTGTTTGTGGTATACATCTGGCAAACATGACTATGTGTTTGTGGTATACATCTGGCAAACTTTATGTATTTGTAGTATATATCTGGCAAACTTGACTATGTGTTTGTGGTATACATCTGGCAAACATGACTATGTGTTTGTGGTATACATCTGGCAAACATGACTATGTGTTTGTGGTATACATCTGGCAAACATGACTATGTGTTTGTGGTATACATCTGGCAAACTTGACTATGTGTTTGTGGTATACATCTGGCAAACATGACAATGTGTTTGTGGTATACATCTGGCAAACATGACTATGTGTTTGTGGTATACATCTGGCAAACATGACTGTGTTTGTGGTATACATCTGGCAAACTTGACTATGTGTTTGTGGTATATATCTGGCAAACTTTATGTATTTGTAGTATACATCTGGCAAACTTGACTATGTGTTTGTGGTATACATGTGGCAAACATGACTATGTGTTTGTGGTATACATCTGGCAAACTTTATGTATTTGTAGTATACATCTGGCAAACTTGACTATGTGTTTGTGGTATACGTCTGGCAAACTTGACTATGTGTTTGTGGTATACATCTGGCAAACTTGACTATGTGTTTGTGGTATACGTCTGGCAAACTTGACTATGTGTTTGTGGTTTACATGTGGCAAAAGAAAAATGTTCTAGTTGGTTAATTATCATGTGTGGTTGTTACACACTGGGCATTCCCATGCATGCTCAGTCCTCTGATGCAGCAGCCATTCCATATGAAGTTGGTTAGGTCTCCTATCTTTTTCTCACAGATGTCACAGACATGCTTCATCATTCACCAAACTTGATTCCCTGCTCATGATAGTGCATTCTGCAAAACATTCGCTCGTCTAGTAATTCTTCTTCTTCACGTCAGCATTCTGAGCCCGTGAAGTTCACTGCTGCAGATATCCCTTGCCTCCATTCATCTCTGTGATTGGCTTTCTCTTCCCTGTTGGTGTTTGAATGTTCATCTGCACATACTAGCTCTTTGTATGAGCCATATAAACACCACAAAGTAATGAAACACAGTGAAGACATGTCCACTGTCATCCTTATGACAAACGACTGCTATTCTGATCAACAAAAACCACAACAACAAGGAGCTGTCCCCGTGTATGTTTTGGGTCAAACTGCCTCCCCAACAAGCATGTCACAGGAGTCAAATAACTAAGGGCATCCTTCAAAGTCAGAGTATATTTGCCTGAGAGAAAAAGGAACCAGGAGTCTGCATACAAAAAAGCCAGATCTGTGAAACAAATGTGCATACAGCACTCAGGTTCTGCAACAAGACTAAAGTCCTGAGGTGGACAAACACCCAGAGTTTACAACTGGTGAACACGAAGAAGAAAAGAACCTTGTCAAAAGATTTGATATACAGAGAACTGTTGCCGCGTCTCTCCTTCAGCTGATGTCTCTCGCCTAACTGCTTTCTGTGCTCACTAACTCACTCTTTACTTCAGCTGGAAAACCATCAACCACTGTTTCACTACAGCAATCCATTCAGTTCATGGTGCTGGTACTTACAGATACCCATTTCTGTGTGTGGTGCTCTGTCCACACTGAAGGTCTGCTGTAGTGGTTATGTCAGTCTGTCTGCCTGATCAATACACGTGCTGAGAATGAGGTCACTACAAGCAGCAGCAATATTGATGTCGAGAGGATCGCCTTCACTGCACTAGGTTTTACCCCACATGGCTCGGTCTCTCTCCAGAGAATGGCTGGCCATCTAGCGAGCATCACAAAAGGAACAAACTCTGCAGCCCAGGTGAACAGCCCCAGGAATCGCCGTAAAAACAGCACCTGTGAACTGAGCAGCGCAAATAGCTTGACCACTTCACCTGGGAAGCCTCTCTTCAGTTGATTTCAGTGAGCTCATTTTACAAGGTAGTGAGGAAGTGGTTTTGTATGCTCACTCAAGGAAGGAAGGGAAGAGGGGGGGGGGGGGCCTTGATTTACAGTCATGTGATATTTTCATTTTCAAGGCAGTAAGAAAATGTTACAGTGATGTGATATGTTCAAAACCTCATCTCCAGCACTCAGCCTGTCAGGACATACATGTTTCTGATGCAAACACTAATAGGAGGAACAATGTTTCATGGAAAAAAAAAGGACAAAAACACATTCTTACCACTTTAGCTGTTGGCTTCCCAAATCCGTGACCAGATTTAGTATCCACACGGATTATTAGTGGATTAGTCTGAAATACCCCAAGAAAAAAATTATTTTGCATGTAAATACTCTCAAATACTGGGAAAGGAAGGGGGGGGGGATATAAAGGTTTGCTATTTCTTCTTGTTGACAGTGGGTAAACTCCCAGTTGTTGGCCCACTTGCAATGGTTTTGTTGCAGGTCTTCATGTTGCATGCACATCCATTTGACAGATCTGGGATTTGGCTTTGGTGGAGAACATCGTGTTGACTGGAAAGGTCACTGATAGCAAAGGCAGAATAAGACAGAGTCAATATCTGCCAGTCTGAGGTTATGGTGTGAAGACATATTATTAGTTAAACTGATTTAAACAAGGTTTCAGGATTATCACCCTACAAAATACTTTTGGCAAAGTGCTAAAGAAGATTACTGCTCTTAAACTACAAATGTTTTTTGAAAGGGAAGAGCTCCTGCCAAAAGGTTTAGGTAGTTACCGGCCATGGAAAGGTACATGGTCTAATGCAGCTACTTTTGCTTTCAATGTTTGTGAGGGGTTCCAGAACAGACAGGAGACGGTTGTGGCAGCACCTGATCTTGAGGTTGCATACAATAGAGTTAGATATGATATTTTGATATCTGCACTCATGGAGACGGGGGTTCGTCCCTGGCTTGTGAACTAGATAGCAGCTGTCCTGCATTCACATATGGTTGCCCTTGGCCTGGGTACATGGACCTCAGAACCATGTAATATCACCCCAGGACTTTCCCAGGCTTCTGCAATTTCACCAGTGCTCTTTAATGTGTGTACGAGCAGGATTGCAGAACTTGAAGCACCAGGTGTTGGAATGATATTAACATTTGCCAATGATGTTCTTGCATATAGGCAAGTGATAGCCCAAGAGCTACAGGCAACTATAGACAAAGTGACTGACTGGTGTGCAGAAATGAGTGCTGTCATCAACTCAGAAAAGGCGGCTGTTTTGTAGTGCTCTCTGGACAATAGAATTGCAAGAGCTAATCTTCCAGCCTAACAATTAATGACAATGACATCAAATGAGAAAGTAAACTGAGGTACCTGGGTATTATTTTCAATAGAAGCCTGTCCTTCAGGGATCATGTAGAGGCAGCTGTGTTGAAATGCCAAAAAGGACTTAATGCTTTCAAGATTTTGTCAGCAATGAACACGGAACAAAGAATGTTCACAATGTTCCTGCATGTGATCCTGTCAGTAATAGATTATGGACTTGGAATGCTTACCATATAAAACAGTCTGCTAATGAAACTTGAAGGCATACAGAATAAAGCCATGCGGGTAATTCTGGGATGTACAAGAGATAGCCCAGTAGTATTATGAGATATATACTTGCACTGTTTACTATTGCAGATAGAGTCAAAATTCTGCAACAAAGTCACGTCTCAGAGTAGCTGCAGACAAGAGGCACCTCCTGCATGAAGCCCTGGATAGAGCTAAGGGTCACAGACTGAAAAGAGGAAAGTCTTGGATGGGGCAAGCTGAAGACACGATTGGGCATGTTTAAAGAAAGCTCAAATCAGTTGTCACTTAGGACATGCTTTGTCTGTTTTTGTTTCCCCCCCAATAGGATCCCGAACCCACAAGGGATTAACCATATGTAAGTGTTGTTCAGCAACAACGCATAGATCAAGTAAAAATACCGTTTACTGATTAACTGATGGATTCACGGTAAGGTTTGAGTTCTAACGTACGTAATGACTTTTAACGAAATACGAGCACAATGTGCTCTACAAAGAAATCTTAGGAAAATATCCTGGTGCACAATTAAGTGCGAAGTAAAGGCGGACAACAAAACAGCCCATTGCCGACTGGTTCTATAGTAAACCGAAGTGAAATATCTTTGTTTCTTAGTCTTGCGGAGTTCTAAAATTCATAATTTTTAATTAAAACTTGTAAATTTTTATAATGCTGATAAATAATTATTATTTAAAATGTCATTCTTCACGGAAAAAAAAGCATGACTTCATACAAATCTTTAAAATATATACATTAAATCATAAAAAAGTACCTCTTAAAATAGTAAAGAGGTTATGCCCCTTAGTTAATTTATATAAAAAATTATTTCCCTTGTTCCACACACGTCTTAATTTTTTCTTTTTTTAATGTGTGCGTTTTATCGCAACTAAGGCTGTACAGTTTATTAAAATAATGTGTTTACAATTGTGAAATTTTAAAATACTATTACTCTGACTCTAGGTCATCATTACTCCGACACTAGGTCATCTGATGCAACTTTGTGCAGAGAGGGAGTAACTAAATTACATGACAAGTCAATAATTATGTCCCTTATAAGTTACACTGACTTATCCTTACCAGACCTGAGGCCCTGAACCTAACTGCCCCTTATACCTGAGCTTCTGGGCATTACCGTGAAAAAAACCAACATGATATACCAAAATATTAGTTACACGCAAACAAGTGGCTAGAATAAGATGAAACTTGGAGACATTGTAGAAACTATGCTTACCTTTTATCTAGTGCCAATGTTCCACTTTTGTGTGCCAATTCGCACAGCAGGATATCAGCCTTGTTTCACAAAGTGAACACCAGATGTTGCTGTTTGAGGGACATGCCCCCTTCTCCTACTATCGACTTATTTCTAGATTTATAATTTTCAAGATTTTTCTCATCATTCAAGCTCTCACTGACTGTGTCACTTCAACTGTGAACATCTTCTTCATGAAATCATGACTCCGCAGTCCGAATAAACCAAGGAATCGATCACTTGTTGAATTGTGAAAAGCCTAGACCTATTTTACTTTCCTGTTGAAGTGCTTAGTTCATTAGCCGCTCGCTTCATTGTGAATTTTCAGAATATTTTCACATAAAACAACAGAAATTTAATCCAAACACATGCGGGCAGACATCTGGAATGACTATCCACGAGGCCTGATTGAGATTGGCTAGTTATTTTTAGTTTGTGACGCATTATTTTTACGTAGTACGCAAATTCCCGACATTGAGGGACAGGGGTTTAGCGGCAGATTAGGAAATTCCTGTAATAGCGGGCCAGCGGTCTGGTTGAGTTAAGATAATTATGGCCCCTTAGTTAAACTGCTGATGGAAAGTTAATGAACTGATTTGTGTCAGGCATCTACTTTCATCAGAAAAAGTACCTGTTTGTCAGAACCTCCCAGGGTGTGCTGTAGTTCTGCGATGAACTTGAGTGAATGAAGGGGAGAAACTCTGTCGTCATGATCGCCAGTCAACAAGAGCAGGGCCGGGTACTGTTGGTCGCCTTCAGGTGTCTTGATTGTATGCAGGGGAGAATAACTGCCAAAACATTCCACATAAACAATGAAAGAATTCATACTAAACTATTAAGTAAAGTGCCAGGGATGCTTTTCATGATAGTGGCAGATCGGGCATAAGTTTCTAGTTCAATCCACCATCGATGGGTGATATCATAAACATTACACCAGCCGTCTTTACTTCCCATGACAGAATCTGGTACTCACTTTAGTCTGGGCTGAACTGGGGTAGGTGGAGGGTGGTCGTTTTTTCAACAAATACCCAATCTTTCAATGTAAAACAGTACAGCAGTGAATCTTCATCAGGTAATCAGAGTTGTTTGTATCACAGAATCATCCGTCTAGGATCAAGTCTCCTTCATGATCTAATAACTGTGTTCCATCTAATAATTATGTGACCAGATGATCCAACAATCTGACATCTTTTATATGTAGGTATATTACCTCTTCAATTCCAAGAGATGCCAGGTGTTCGGGTGACTCTATCCCCCTGAGTTCCCTCCAAAGCATAGTGTGTTCTCTTACAATATTTAGTCAGCAGATACTCAAGAAATCTGGCTTTCCAACTGTTAACTGTTGTTTGTCCATTGGCTCCTTTCCATCTTCCCAGATGAGATATATTGTGATATGAGGAGACATGGGACTCAAAGCCCATGGTAATGGCGAGTGTTTTTATTTTTTTAATTTTTATTTATTTATCTTCTCTACAGCACAAAGTATGGGTAGTGCTGTAGAGATAATTTGCTGCCATGCATCATGATCCCATCTCTTATCTCATTAATATCTTGTCATCCCCTTGCGGTCAGGGGCCACAATATAGCCTGGCCATAATTACGGCCTGATGGCTGAACACAGTTTCCGGGACCTCTCCGCAGGTGATCGTCATCCACATGGTGGCACTTTGCGTCATCAGGTGTTTATATTGCTTATGTGATGTCCTGGTGGGGTAAATGAAGATAGATAGATAGATAGATAGACAGACAGACAGACAGACAGACAGACAGACAGACAGACAGACAGACAGACAGACAGACAGACAGACAGACAGACAGACAGACAGACAGACAGACAGATAGATAGATAGATAGATAGATAGATAGATAGATAGATAGATAGATAGATAGATAGATAGATAGATAGATAGATAGATAGATAGATAGATAGATAGATAGATAGATAGATAGATAGATAGATAGATCCCATCTCAACATGCCTTGTTTGCTCCAAAGGAAATATAACACCAGTACATTTGAAATGCATCACGCTGCAGAAGCTGCCGGATCAGACCAACAGTGCTCTACCTATTGGAGCTTCAATTCTAGACCAGCTGCAAGCCAAGGCTAAGGACCTGGTCTGCCCTGCCATAAGAGTTTTCAGGTTGCATTTTCTTTTCCTAATTTAAGGCTAGTATCCTCCCCAATGTGCTCCACCTCCCAAAACCTATGACACCATATGGGATGTCAGGTTTGGTATATGCTACCCAACATTCGGCGTCAACAGAAGACACACAGTACCAGCTTCTGATATAAGGTATCTCAGTCATATCTGACCAAGCTAACAGAAGACAAGTAGTACCAGCTACTGTTACATGGTAGCTCAGTCATATCTGACCAAGTAAGAAGACAAGTAGTACCAGCTACTGTTACATGGTAGCTCAGTCATATCTGACCAAGTAAGAAGACAAGGAGTACCAGCTACTGTTACATGGTAGCTCAGTCATATCTGACCAAGTAAGAAGACAAGGAGTACCAGCTACTGTTACATGGTAGCTCAGTCATATCTGACCAAGTAAGAAGACAAGGAGTACCAGCTACTGTTACATGGTAGCTCAGTCATATCTGACCAAGTAAGAAGACAAGTAGTACCAGCTACTGTTACATGGTATCTCAGTCATATCTGACCAAGTTAACAGAAGACAAGTAGTACCAGCTACTGTTACATGGTATCTCAGTCATATCTGACCAAGTTAACAGAAGACAAGTAGTACCAGCTACTGTTACATGGTAGCTCAGTCATATCTGACCAAGTAAGAAGACAAGGAGTACCAGCTACTGTTACATGGTAGCTCAGTCATATCTGACCAAGTTAACAGAAGACAAGTAGTACCAGCTACTGTTACATGGTAGCTCAGTCATATCTGACCAAGTAAGAAGACAAGGAGTACCAGCTACTGTTACATGGTAGCTCAGTCATATCTGACCAAGTAAGAAGACAAGGAGTACCAGCTACTGTTACATGGTAGCTCAGTCATATCTGACCAAGTAAGAAGACAAGTAGTACCAGCTACTGTTACATTGTAGCTCAGTCATATCTGACCAAGTAAGAAGACAAGGAGTACCAGCTACTGTTACATGGTAGCTCAGTCACATCTGACCAAGTTAACAGAAGACAAGTAGTACCAGCTACTGTTATACGATAGCAAAATGAGATCTGACCAAGACCTGACATGACGAGTGTTAATGACCACTGTGTATGCTGCGACTCTGAAAGTATTGCATTGATCAATTTTTTTATCTGGGTAGTTTCTTGGCTTTGACACTTCCTGTAAAACATTCTGGTAGTGAAAAAGTTCAGCCACAGGTTACTTTTGTAAATGTGTTTTATGCAGAATTACCCTGATTGTTACCTGTGTGATTCTCATCCCTGGGATGTTAATCATACATACTTTTTATCAATGTTTGCATGATTATGCTAACACAATCCATTCAATACATCGTTTGTCACACAGGATTGCAGACTACACAGGAACAGCACCCTCTGCAGTAGACGGGTGGCCATTTTATAAACCCCTCTGGAGGTTGAAGGGGATATCTGGGGTCTGCCCTGTCCTTCTACCACCCAGGATGCAACTCTTCAAGTCACAGGGGTTGATCAAAACGTCAGGTAGGTAGTGAGGATGAGGAAACAGATCAACATACAGACATGTACATACATATTAAATCAGACTAACACCTGGTATTGCTGTTTCGGGTGCCATAATAACAACTTCTTCAGGATTGCATCGGGTATTTAGGTTTGCCCTATCAGATTTACACTTGGGATGAACTCTTGGTCTTTTTCCAGGTGTCAAACCTTCAGGAAGCAGTCAAGAGGGCAGTAACATTCAGTAGGTCTTGACAAACGGAACAAATAATAGAATTATTCATTGAACAACTGGGCTGTTTGAAGATTCACTAAACCATACACAGACTATGTTGGGGTGTCGCAACCATTACACAGACTATGTTGGGGTGTCGCAACCATTACACAGACTATGTTGGGGTGTCGCAACCATTACACAGACTATGTTGGGGTGTCGCAACCATTACACAGACTATGTTGGGGTGTCGCAACCATTACACAGACTATGCTGGGTGTCCCAACCATTACACAGAGTATGCTGGGATGTCGCAACCATTACACAGCCATTACAGTGAAGCGACAGATGAAGTACCTGATGAGCCACTTGAACTGATCTGGATCATCAGAAGAGCCATAATCTGATGTCCAAGCATGTCCAATTGTAAACTTGTGGAAGCGCAGCATATCAAGAACACTGGAAAATAAGGGAAAACATAATGTACAAGATGTATCCAACATTCACATATGTAGTCTCCGGTAAAAAGTCACAATCCCTTCAGACAGAGTGGCTTACATTGCTTGATAGACTCAAATCTGGAGCATATCATCAATGTTCTACTGTAACTCTGAAGGTTAGCTGATTCAGCATTAACTGGATGTGGTGAAAGCTCTCAGGGATCAAGTGGACAGAGTGAGAGAAAGATAAGAGTATAGAATTGCCCTAAGTGCAGTGATGTCAGTTTTTGAGAGAAATTTCCTACATTCTATTTATACATATTGCAAAATAAATGCAAGAAAACAGTCTTGTCAATATAAAAAGAAAACACCAGCTCTGAATAAACATGTAAAAAAAAATAAATAAATAAATGTTTGGCTTTGTAACTTAGATGTAAGTGATCACATGTGTACCAGGGTTTCATTTCTGCAGTGGGTGGTGCGGAAAAGACCATTTTCATGTTTTTTTTATATCTGGATTAAGATTTGACATGTAGCGTTCAGGACAAGCCTATATCAGCCCCATCTCCCTCCTCAACAGCCAGCAAAGTGTCTACCTTCTGATGGTACCTGATGTCATCTTGTTAACTACTCATCTTGCACTCTGAGGCTTGAGTGGCGCCGACAGCCCACAAACATCCCCCACTGCACCATATTCTCCAGGTCCAGGTTTATCTTCCACTTTACTTGTTAAATTGAGAGATTACCTCTGCCTTGGGTAGTTGTAGCAGACCTCCAGGTGAGACCAGTCCAGCCAACCTATCTGCCTGCTTCTTCTTCTTTCGTTCCCCTGGAATAAGTTGTCTATATCAGCAGTTTTGTCTCTTGTATAAATTTCACTGTCGTTGTTAGTTCATTCAGTGGTCCATAGAGTTTACGGCTGCTCTTTTGTCGCACCTTCCCCTGCCAGTTGATCAGCTTTCTCATTTCCAGCCACTCCACAATGAGACGGTATCCACTGCATTACAACTCTTCACTGAAGGCTGATCTGCCTGCTCATTCCCTAACATGCCTACACGTTCGACAGTGGCTTTTGGACAGTGGTATAAGAGTTTTACTGAGGAAGAGATGCAGCCTCATCATAAAATAATCATATTCCTAAAGACAGTAGTGGATGTAAATATGCAAAGCAACTAACTTTCCTTGTGGTGATGGCCAGACAAATCTATGCTATGAAGGTCTTGAGTATGAAACTGCATCGAGCCAGTTTAAAAAAAAAATTTTACTGACCTGAGCATCCAGGTGGACCAAGGCTAAGAATGAACAGCAGGAAATATGAGGTTTCAAAGAGGCTGGTGTTATGTTCAAGCACATCACCCACTGAGTGCAAGCACATCACCCACTGAGTGCAAGCACATCACCCACTGAGTGCAAGCACATCACCCACTGAGTGCAAGCACATCACCCACTGAGTGCAAGCACATCACCCACTGAGTGCAAGCACATCACCCACTAAGTGCAAGCACATCACCCACTGAGTGCAAGCACATCACCCACTGAGTGCAAGCACATCACCCACTGAGTGCAAGCACATCACCCACTGAGTGCAAGCACATCACCCACTGAGTGCAAGCACATCACCCACTAAGTGCAAGCACATCACCCACTGAGTGCAAGCACATCACCCACTAAGTGCAAGCACGTGACCCATTGAGTGCAAGCACATCACCCACTGAGTGCAAGCACATCACCCACTAAGTGCAAGCACATCACCCACTGAGTGCAAGCACATCACCCACTGAGTGCAAGCACATCACCCACTGAGTGCAAGCACATCACCCACTGAGTACACTTTGATCTCTACAAATCTTAGTCCAGTATCATAAGTCTAATGTGACAATGAAGCATAAAGTTCCCTTACTCTTCAAAACTAGAATCTTAGTGGCAGAGCAGTATAGTACCCACAAGGAGCTGTTAGAGAGATGTTTGGAGTTCAGTACTCTAGTTACACTGTGTCTCCAGACTTGAACACTTCATAGGCAGCCAAAGAAGAATTGTAAACCAGCACAGAACTGGTGTCATAAGTAGCCATATGCTGAGGGAGATACTGAAGATGGGATCTCAGTGCTTATAGAATTGTCTGATGAGGATAATCAGTCGATTAAACAACTAATTAACTTCAGTTATACTGTCATAAAATGGGTTCTATATCAGTTCCAGAACTGTCTGAACATTCATGCAGTTAGGAAAACAGACTTTCTTCTTTCTTTCTTTTCTCTAGTCCTGTTTGCCTTTCAGCGTCAGGCCTGAAAGAGGCATCTGGTGCAAGCCGTGGTATCTGCTATGTAGATGCTTGTATTCCTGGCCTCAAATACGCCATCTATCCATCATTTACATAGGCAACCTCTAGCTCTGCTTCTATTGTGTCTAAGTGACAGGGCTCTCTGAGGTGCACCATCTGGTTGGTGTTTGACCAATGTCTGAACCATTTGATCTGCTGTCTCTTGATGTAGTTTATCCCTGCTTGCATCTAATCTTGTTTAGATCAGCAACTATCGTAAAGAAACAGTAAATAGTGATACAAATTAAAAAAAACACCAATGTGCCTACCCAACTTGAGCAATTCCTGCAGCAAACAGATCAGGTCGCTGATTTAGTGAGGCGCCAACCAGCAGACCACCGTTAGACCCTCCATTGATAACAATTCTGTGAATCAATAAAATATTTTAAAAACTTATTGACAAAAATGACGGTCAATACTCATTGATCAAATATATTTTTAAAATAAAGTTTTTAAAAAAACCAAACATATATTTCAAGGCATTAAAATTACAACGTTTATGGCGCCAGCCCAATACTTTAGGACCAATCAATGTTCACTGGGTTATGAACAAATAAAGTCGATCTTCAAAGCGGTAAGAAAATATCGTTTAACACTCAGATGATGGAGACATAAGGATGCAGGAGATAAGTAAATAATGACAGGACAGCTTAAAAAAAAAAATACAACAGCTGCACAATTCAATGATGATGATGATGATTATAAAGGAAGTATAACAAACTGGAATCTTGTATGGTGGTCCAGTTGTTGAATGTTTGTGAGATAAAAAAAACTAAGTTCTGGTGCTTAAAAATGACCCTCTCATAGCTGTGCCCCGAAAGTCTGGTTTCAAAGAATCATTTTCAGTGCACAAACCTCATAGTAAGAGCAAGGCTTCAAATATGTGTGTATATGAATCAGACATTGGATATACACTACTAGAGAATGGAGGCCATAGAAAGTTGTTCATTTATGCCAGTCAGGATGACAAGATATGCAAGGGACCTGATGAAAACAGTGAACAGATTCAGACAAATGAAGACCACTCACTTCTTATTGTTTGTGTAACCCTTGTTGATCAGGTACTCGGCGGCTGCCTGGAAGTCATCAAAACAATTCTGTTTCTGTCCTAGAGACCCCTCCTTATGCCAGGTCTCTCCGTATTCACTGTAAAAGCAAATTTCATTTATATTATCCATGCATAGACATACATTAGGTGAAGTAAACAGTCAGTAAAAGATGCCTTTTAGGTCAATGCTGAATCTGACATATGTTGCTAGACTCATACTCTTCTGTTGGCTAATCTGTATTGATTGGTGCCAGCCTTTCCCATGACCTGACCTGGTACCCATTTTAACAAACTTCCAGTCAATATGGCAGACAAGTGGTTTACTGTTTTTAGTCCTGGCAAGTTTTTACTTCTGACAATAGTTGCATTTTCCTCTTTATGTAGACTGAAAGGGAAACAGTTTTATCCCCCAGCTACTGAATGGAGTGCATAGCATGACACTGTAAGCTGTAGATTTCATTTGGGATGCTTTTTTACTGTGCCCAGTGTGGTTTGTAGTTGAACTGCATATTTAGAAAATGGCGAGTTACCTGTAGCTAGAGTACCTGCGGTACTGCACATGCAATCAACCGTGCGTGCAACTACTGATCTGTTGTAACTGCTGCTTCTATCAGCGGTGAACTGCATTGTTAGCATCAGACAGTTTATGTTGGCATTTCTGACTGCTGCCTTATACATCAAAAGTGTGTGAATGCTGTTCCAATTGCTGAGACTGCAGTCTGTGTCCACTGTTTTCACAAGGGACAGTGACGGATTTTCTGTGTAGTGTGTGCTGGCACTGGAACAGAGCAAACTATGGGTGACCTTTTGCTATGAAGTTGGAACTGTGATTACCTGATTAAACACATGTGAGAATGGGGGATACAAGTAGAAACAGTCAGTAGGAGGCACAAAAACACATGTGAGAATGGGGGATACAAGTAGAAACAGTCAGTAGGAGGCACAAAAACACATGTGAGAATGGGGGAAACAAGTAGAAACAGTCAGTAGGAGGCACAAAAACACATGTGAGAATGGGGGAAACAAGTAGAAACAGTCAGTAGGAGGCACAAAAACACATGTGAGAATGGGGGATACAAGTAGAAACAGTCAGTAGGAGGCACAAAAACACAGTGAGACATTTAGAGACAAGGACATATAGAAACAAATAAAGAAATAGATAATAATAGAAACATTTATTTAAAAAAAATCACAATAGAGAAATAGACAGAAATAGACACAAATAGATACACAGAAACAATGAGGTACATATACAAATTGCGTAAGAAGGAAAAAAGAGCTGGGAAATAGACAGAAAAACACACAGAGGGAAATAAAAGAGCGACAGAAGTAGAGAAATGTGAGAAAAAGAACTAATTTAGAAACAAAGAGACATTGAAATATACAAAATATAATGGGGAAGGGAAGCGAAAAGAAAGTGATTGTGTATGTTGTGTGTGTGAGTGACAGAGAGAGAGAGAGAGAGAGAGAGAAAGAGAAGGGGGGGGGGGTGCAAATGTGTGTGTGATAGTGTGAAAAAGAAGCAGAGAGAAAAAACAGACGTGCAGACAGAAAAAGAAAGACTAATATTCCACTGCTCCCTGACAAGCATGGCCTACAAATAATTCAGACCCAAGAAACAGACGTACATGCAAAAATTGAGTCTCAAGTCCAGAAACAAAACAAACAACCAGAACTTTCAGCCAGAGTTTACAGCTGGTGAATGCACGAAGAAGAAGACAAATATACAGGAGACAAATAGACAGACAGACAAACAAAGAGACAACAAAACACTTACCCGCCTCCTCTGATGTTTGCCACCGCATAAACACCACCTAAATTCTGGAGAAACACAACTCGGGATGGAGAAAATGATGGCGTTACAGAGATATTGAAACCTCCATACCCATAGAGCAGTACTGGGTTGTTTCCATTAAGCTCCAACCCCTAAAGGAATATGCAATGAAAAGTAAATTCACCCAACAATATGTAATCGAATCCCACAACAAAAATGTATCACATTAACAAAATTCACTCTTTCCAATAAAATTTACATTTCTCACCATTAAAAACAAATTTATAAAAATTAAATAAGAAAATCCTCACACTAAAACATACAAAGAATTACTTTAGGAGGAGGAGGAGAAGAAGAAACATGCAATTCTCAAAACAAAATTTAAATCCATGAAAAAAAGAAAAAAAAAACAGATTTTTCTATGCACGAAAAGGTGAAAAAAAAAATGGTATTACAGAAAGAAAACCTGGCCTTTCTATGAATGACACACAACTGGATACTGAATAAACATTATTTCTATGAATGATAAAATCAGACAACTGACCTTTTCATCACATGACAAAATCACATAACTGACCTTTCTAAGTATGACAAAATCTTATATGTATGACAAAATAAATGACCTTTCTGAGTACGATAAAATCTTCTGACCTTTTTATGGATGTTAAAATCTTATAACTGACTTTTCTGCAAATGATATAATGAATAACTGACATAATGGACAAACTGATCTGCGTATGATATAATGAATAAGTGATATAATGGACAAACTGATCTTTCTATGTATGATATAACGGATAACTGACATAATATACCAACTGATCTTTCTGTGTATGATATAATGGATAACTGACATAATGGACACACTGATCTGTAAATGATATAATGGATAACTGACATAATGGACAAACTGACCTTCTTGTGTATAATAAACATGGGAATGTTGGTTCCATCCTTGCTCGTGTAAAACACCTGCTCAGTGACAAACTTGCTGGCATCAAAATTCTTCACCGAGATCTCTCTAAATACCTGATGGAACAACAGAGTTCAGAGCGTGCATTACTGTAGCCAGCCTGGCTGGTGAAAGAGAACCTTTACAATGACAGATGTAATACAAAACCGTAATAACACTGACTGTTGTATTGACATAATCTCTTGATGGACAGAGCAAACATCTTAAAGCTCATTCTCAGGATGATGATAGACAAGACTGTTGGAAAGTATAGGATCTCCTTCCTGTACTGTGATGTTGCTCCCTCAGTTGCCCAAGCTCCACCATACTGGAAAGGGAGCTGCCAAATCCCATTGGCTGTGACTAATCCAATGAAAACCAGCAGGACTACATAAGAGACAATCATAGATTCAACAAACATATTCCTTCTACCAATCTGGTCTATACACAATTAGATGACACTGATGGGGTTTCCTGGACACTGCCACCATTCTGGCCAGTGTCATTATTATTCTGTGTGATTGACCTGCAGTCTAGCCACTTCTGTGCACAGCATTATTGCCGGGCCTTTCAAATGGAATAACACTGCTAAGAAGCCAGCTTTCAGGAACAGTTCTACTGCTGATGCTGTTGTTGTATGATTATCCATGCATACTAGTGGCAGCTTGTTGATGTCTTTATATTGAAAGCAATGGTTGTAAGGAAAGTAAATTATCACAGAGAAGCAATGATGGTGAGAAAAGTAGATGATCAAAGAGAAGCAATGGTGGTAAGGAAAGTTGATGATCACAGAGAAGCAATGATGGTGAGAAAAGTTGATGATCACAGAGAAGCAATGATGGTGAGAAAAGTAGATGATCACAGAGAAGCAATGATGGTGAGAAAAGTAGATGATCACAGAGAAGCAATGGTGGTGAGTAAAGCAGATGATCACAGAGAAGCAATGATGGTAAGAAAAGTAGATGATCACAGAGAAGCAATGATGGTGAGAAAAGTAGATGATCACAGAGAAGCAATGGTGGCAAGGAAAGTAGATGATCACAGAGAAGCAATGATGGTAAGGAAAGTAGATGATCACAGAGAAGCAATGGTGGCAAGGAAAGTAGATGATCACAGAGAAGCAATGATGGTAAGGAAAGTAGATGATCACAGAGAAGCAATGGTGGCAAGTAAAGTAGATGATCACAGAGAAGCAACGATGGTAAGGAAAGTAGATGATCACAGAGAAGCAATGGTGGTAAGGAAAGTTGATGATCACAGAGAAGCAATGATGGTGAGAAAAGTAGATGATCACAGAGAAGCAATGATGGTGAGAAAAGTAGATGATCACAGAGAAGCAATGGTGGTGAGTAAAGCAGATGATCACAGAGAAGCAATGATGGTAAGAAAAGTAGATGATCACAGAGAAGCAATGATGGTGAGAAAAGTAGATGATCACAGAGAAGCAATGGTGGCAAGGAAAGTAGATGATCACAGAGAAGCAATGGTGGCAAGGAAAGTAGATGATCACAGAGAAGCAATGATGGTAAGGAAAGTAGATGATCACAGAGAAGCAATGGTGGCAAGGAAAGTAGATGATCACAGAGAAGCAATGATGGTAAGGAAAGTAGATGATCACAGAGAAGCAATGATGGGAAGGAAAGTAGATGATCACAGAGAAGCAATGATGGCAAGGAAAGTAGATGATCACAGAGAAGCAATGGTGGCAAGGAAAGTAGATGATCACAGAGAAGCAATGGTGGCAAGGAAAGTAGATGATCACAGAGAAGCAATGATGGTGAGAAAAGTAGATGATCACAGAGAAGCAATGGTGGTGAGTAAAGCAGATGATCACAGAGAAGCAATGATGGTAAGAAAAGTAGATGATCACAGAGAAGCAATGATGGTGAGAAAAGTAGATGATCACAGAGAAGCAATGGTGGCAAGGAAAGTAGATGATCACAGAGAAGCAATGATGGTAAGGAAAGTAGATGATCACAGAGAAGCAATGGTGGCGAGTAAAGCAGATGATCACAGAGAAGCAATGGTGGTAAGGAAAGCAGATGATCACAGAGAAGCAATGATGGTAAGGAAAGTAGATGATCACAGAGAAGCAATGGTGGTGAGTAAAGCAGATGATCACAGAGAAGCAAGGTCAGGAAAATAGATGATCACATGGATTAAAGGTGGTAATTAAGGAAAGTGGATGATCTTACTATCTCAGCAGGTTGTGATTAAGTAATATGTGAAGTACTGCCATGTGATTACATATATTTTGACCTTCACACAGACAGAAACTGAGCACTTACTGTAGGCTTGTAGTCCTTAGTGGACACGTCACAGTGGTAGATGATGCCAGGTGTTAGAAATGAGACAAACTGGTAGAAAATTTCCGTATCCTTCTTCTTGCCAGAAAATCCTACAATACTGCCTACGTCCAGTGGAAACTGGAACTGTCTTCCTCCACTAGCCAGGTCATACACAAAGAGCTCATTCTATTTCAAATACAAAAAAAAAAAAATGGCAAAATTTATTAGTGCACTATGTTATTGGCAACTGAAGCAGCTTATTAAAGGCAACATATAAAGACATGAAATGTCAAGTTTTTAATGAGGGAAACTAACAGATATATTTGAAATAAGAACAGGTATGTGACAAAGAAGTCTTTTGTCACCTCTTCTATTTTTCTGGCAGTAGACTGGCTTATAAAGACAACAACAGCTACCATCAAGAATGGAATTCAGTGGACCGCTTGATGATCTGGACTTCACTGATGATATTTCTCTTATATCCCACTTATGGAATCAAATGCAAGATAAATTAAAAATACCCCAGAGCCCATATGAAGAATCAAACAGTTGTTTTCTAAAGGATTTTTTTTCAGGAATTCCCAGGGGTTATTGCACTTGCCCAAAAAAAAAAAAAATCTGCGGCGAAAAAGGGTCCAACGGTGAAATGGCCAACACTGTCAACAGACATTTCCTGGTACCTATGTAAAGCTGTATTGATATAAAAGCCCAGAACAAAAAACAAACAAAAATCCAACAAGATTAGGCTTTAAACCTGATACCTCCAGGCTAGCAGGAGGTGACTGCCAACATAAGTTATCAGCAACAGTAAATACATTGCACTGAAAATGTTGCCAAGTTTTTTAACGTTTTTAGTTCAACTGTCTGCTATTCTGTGCATGGGGTTGTTTATGCGTTTGAATTTTTCTGTTAGGGTAAGCACCTTTTCTTCACTTCGATGGCTAAAGCTCTGGAGGCCAGAAGTTGCCCCCAGTTCATGGATTGGTGTGCTTCTCGTACCTCCAGTGGTGACTCTAAGACCAGTGTTCTGTATTTTGCCCAGTTTGTATAGATTTGATGTGGCGGCAGTGGAGTATACTCCTATGCCATACTCCACTTTTGATCGTGCTGATCTGAGCAAACAAAAACGAATGCAGAAAGCAAAAGAAGATATTCATGTTTACTAAATCTACCTAATGGGCCACAACTCGCCTAGGGGACTTAACCTTCAACACAGCTTTATCTAAAAGTTTTGAGTTATGGCTCTTGCCTGCCACAGCCTTTTCTGCCTAGTACTCATTTTCTGTGTTTACATGCATTCAGCCTGAAGGCACATCCCTTTAAACATATTTTCACATACTAACACAAATGAAAAATAGCTTTTTGTGTACTTCAGTAGGATAGTTGGGTTAATGTGGTCACCATAATGAAGGCCAGTGCTATTCATTTAAGTTTACTCATGAACCAAAACGTTTAAAATGGGGATGGTTATGGGCCAGCCAGAGGCCTGAACCGCAGGCATAGCAAGATCATTAATACAATACAACTAGCACTGATCTGTGGGTCACTAGCTTGGCCTTTGCTGGCCAGATTCAGCCCAGGAGTGGCCAATTAAATAGCTTGAATAGCTTTGAATGTCGGCCATCCTTGATGCAGTTTTGTCATTTACTTTCATTACAATCAAAACCTAAAGTACCCAGTCTCCTCCAAAACCTAAAGTACCCAGTCTCCTCCAAAAGATGATAGAAGAAGAATACCAACACAGTGTGTCAACACAGCACAACTATTTGGGATACAAATGTAGTCAAGGACTAGAATTCAACTCTCCAAAAAGCTTTCCAACCAACCAACCACATTAGCTGGTACTGCCAAGCTCTTCCTAAGCTCGCCACTCACTGTTTCATAAACATTGCAAAACCAGAAATAGTTAACTGTAGCATGCTACTAATTATTTTATATTGAAGTATACCAAAAACAAATATCATAAAAGACAAAAGTGAACCTTGACATCTCGGAGGTAGCACAGAATCAGCCGATTCTGATTCACACAAGTTGCCCACTCAAGAACTGCTGCTTCGTCCTCTTCCACCAAAGTCACCCAGTGTTCCTGTGTCAATGAGAGAAGCATAATCACAATTATGGAACACAAGACAGCTCATAATAATTAAAATATCCATCATAAAATGGATATTAATCAACATATAGGGATAATAATGAGGATACCACAACTGAAGTATTCATCAATATATGTCATCTGGAACATTAGCTAATACCTGAATGATAAACTGAGATTTATAAACATACATTACATGAAATATCAGTCAATATTGGCAGCATGAACTGATATATTTATCTAAATAACACAGCTAAGATACAGTCAAGATGTACCTTGAAATATAAGACAATAGCGTAAAGTGGGACATTAATAAAGAAAAAAAGAAAGTAAAATGTACTTCCATAGGCAAATTAGGGGCCGAAATATTCAATAAATGTTTCTGCTGAGGATTGGAAGGCTCCTGTTGTGCACCCTCCACCATGGAGTTTCTAACAAATCTACAGTAGCGGTAGAGACAAAGATAAAGTAGACATAGCATTTTCTGTTACTATCCCTAGTAAAGCCAGGCAATTAAATCCAGTGTTTCCTTCTGTAAGGAAAAAGACACTACTTGGTGTCACCACAGTGTCTGACTTGTCAGCACTCGGGCCAACCACCCACTTCCCTAGGGTGAATACTTTTAGGTGTAAAAGATATAGACCAGACCGCCGACACATCTTTCATGTATAGGGGATAGAAAAGTATTCAGCACAGGGGAAAGGATCAGCAGGTAACTTGTTTAGCACAGTGGTAACATTGGCTGCGGAGTACGTAGCAGTGAAAAGGTCAATGATAAACTGGGATTTTAATAAACATGTCTATTAGAACTAGGAATGTTGATTAAAAACAACAGTGATCTAGCCAGTTTTTGTTATCATAAATTGTGTAAGACCAGTCACCCACCAGTTACAATCTAAAATGGCATAACTGTCAATATTTGTAACATGAACTAAGATGGCTGCTGCATCAGAAGACAGAGCATGAATGGGTGGGACTGATATCCTGGGATGTCGATACAGACAACAAGTTAAAAAATAACATGAACTGGGATAACACTTACAGGCTCCGGCTTGCTCAAGTCAATGTTGATGAGTTTGTAGTGTGATGCATTCAAGTTGGTTTTGAATGTAAAAACTGTGCCTTCATTTGTGACATACTGCAAACAGAACATCAATCACTGTTGTAACTTTTCTTTACTATAATTTAGGCAATAAAAGTCAAACACTGTTGTAATTATTTTTGATTCACAAACTAACTGAAATCAATCAGTTGTAATTATTTCTGCCCAAGAATTTGAGTAAGTAAAGGACTATTTGCACACCATCGGCAAACTGAGATTATACTGCTCAACTCATGTTTCTAAAGACCAAATGGCACTCAGTGGGTAAGTAAGTAGGTTATGAGTGGGTTACCTTCAGGGCACTCAGTGGGTAAGTAAGTAGGTTATGAGTGGGTTACCTACACGGCACTCAGTGGGTAAGTAAGTAGGTTATGAGTGGGTTACCTTCATGGCACTCAGTGGGTAAGTAAGTAGGTTATGAGTGGGTTACCTACACGGCACTCAGTGGGTAAGTAAGTAGGTTATGAGTGGGTTACCTTCATGGCACTCAGTGGGTAAGTAAGTAGGTTATGAGTGGGCTACCTTCATGGCACTCAGTGGGTAAGTAAGTAGGTTATGAGTGGGTTACCTTCATGGCACTCAGTGGGTAAGTAAGTAGGTTATGAGTGGGCTACCTTCACGGCACACAGTGGGTAAGTAAGTAGGTTATGAGTGGGTTACCTACACGGCACTCAGTGGGTAAGTAAGTAGGTTATGAGTGGGTTATCTTCACGACACTCAGTGGGTAAGTAGGTTATGAGTGGGTTACCTTCACGGCTCTCAGTGGGTAAATAAGTAGGTTATGAGTGGGTTACCTTCATGGCACTCAGTGGGTAAGTAAGTAGGTTATGAGTGGGTTATCTTCACGGCACTCAGTGGGTAAGTAGGTTATGAGTGGGTTACCTTCACGGCTCTCAGTGGGTAAATAAGTAGGTTATGAGTGGGTTACCTTCAGGGCACTCAGTGGGTAAGTAAGTAGGTTATGAGTGGGTTACCTACACGGCACTCAGTGGGTAAGTAAGTAGGTTATGAGTGGGTTACCTTCATGGCACTCAGTGGGTAAGTAAGTAGGTTATGAGTGGGTTACCTTCACGGCACTCAGTGGGTAAGTAAGTAGGTTATGAGTGGGTTACCTTCACGGCACACAGTGGGTAAGTAAGTAGGTTATGAGTGGGTTACCTACACGGCACTCAGTGGGTAAGTAAGTAGGTTATGAGTGGGTTACCTTCATGGCACTCAGTGGGTAAGTAAGTAGGTTATGAGTGGGTTATCTTCACGGCACTGAGTGGGTAAGTAGGTTATGAGTGGGTTACCTTCACGGCTCTCAGTGGGTAAATAAGTAGGTTATGAGTGGGTTACCTTCACGGCACTCAGTGGGTAAGTAAGTAGGTTATGAGTGGGTTACCTTCACAGCACTCAGTGGGTAAGTAAGTAGGTTATGAGTGGGTTACCTTCACGGCACTCAGTGGGTAAGAAAGTAGGTTATGAGTGGGTTACCTTCACAACACTCAGTGGGTAAGTAAGTAGGTTATGAGTGGGTTACCTTCACAACACTCCACACATGTCAATAGGTGCTTAGATCCCCTTCAACATTTACATCAGTGTCACGTCAGTTAACAGTACCAGTCCTATTCTGGTTTACAAGACTCCTGCTACATCCAGTGTGCCCCCCCTTCAACATTTACATCAGCGTCACGTCACAGTTAACAGTACCAGTCCTATTCTGGTTGACAAGACTCCTGCTACATCCAGTGTGCCCCCCTTCAACATTTACATCAGCGTCATGTCACAGTTAACAGTACCAGTCCTATTCTGGTTTACAAGACTCCTGCTATATCCAGTGTGCCCCCCCTTCAACATTTACATCAGTGTCACGTCACAGTTAACAGTACCAGTCCTATGCTGGTTGACAAGACCCCTGCTATATCTAGTGCGTCCCCCTTTAACATTTACATCAGCGTTACGTCACAGTTAACAGTACCAGTCCTATGCTGGTTGACAAGACTCCTGCTATTCTAGTGCGTCCCCCTTCAACATTTACATCAGCGTCACGTCACAGTTAACAGTACCAGTCCTATGCTGGTTGACAAGACTCCTGCTATATCCAGTGTGTCCCCCTGATGCCTCCCAAACATCGCATTTCTAGCAGTGATCTGGACATGCTGTTTCCTCTAAAATTCTACGACAGTCGTATCTCTCTAAGGGTTAACAATGTTGGCGCGATACACAGGCCCGCCATCTGCAACTAAGGCACAACCAGCCAATCACTCAGTGGATAATGTGGTCGGAAACATGCTGGCTGCCTTTACTTCCCAGAACTTTTTCATGCTACCTAGTTTAGGCTGGGTTGACCTGGGAGACAAAGTAATTTCTGAAGAAAGAAAACGAACAAATCTGAACTGATGTGGATTTCAACAAAAGACCTTCTGGCCAGCAAGGGAGTGACTAGCTGCTATGCCCCAGTGCTCCCAACAACCAGGGTAACGATAACGAATCTTTGTTGTAATTACTCCTTCCCAACAACCCGGGTAACGATAACGAATCTTTGTTGTAATTACTCCTTCCCAACAACCTGGGTAACGATAACGATTCTTTGTTGTAATTACTTCTTGCCAACAACCAGGGTAACGATAACGAATCTTTGTTGTAATTACTCCTTCCCAACAACCCGGGTAACGATAACGAATCTTTGTTGTAATTACTTCTTGCCAACAACCAGGGTAACGATAACGAATCTTTGTTGTAATTACTCCTTGCCAACAACCTGGGTAAGGAAAACAGTTCATGTCCTACTTAAAAATGACAATAAGTCACTGTTGTAATTTCTTTCCCATAATCAGAATAGTGAAATTCATTCCTTGTGTTTATTATTTCATCCTACGTAGGTAGAAACTAAACATCAAAAATTATCTTTACAACTGACTACATTAGATCCATCACAACTTTTATTATGTTGAAATCAAATAAACTTTAAACAAGTGTATTTACTGCCTTAGTTACCACTTTTTTTTGGGGGGGAAGTGTAGACAGAAGGTCAAGAGGTATCTTGAGCCCGAGGATTTATGGCAGCACACCTAGTGCTTTCACCACAAAATAAAAGTATTCTATTTTGCTCCCCACAGAAAAACCCCACAACCATAAGAGGATTCGAACCTTAGTCCCCTGAATGAGAGCCCAGTGCCTAGCCATTTTATCAGCCACTCCTAATTAAAAAAAAAAAATAACTGTTTAAAAACATAAGAGACAATTATGATAAGTTAATCACAAAAAGAAAGTCGATCACTTTTAAATGATTGAAACCAGAATTGAAAATCATGAAAGAAAAAAACAATATTTTCATAACTTCATAAAATATAAAAAAAATTTTACCATGCAGGGCTAGACACATAAGCAGTCACCCCGTCACCATTATTAAGATTTCTTTTCAATAGACACACTGGAGACAGACATTATTTCATCATTAACAAGTTTTGCGTGACCCTCTGGAAACAAAAGATGATCATGACTTAATCAAATCAGATTGGTAAACTTCTGCGCTTATCTGAAGATTAACTGCGCGGGGTCTGTTTAAAGCATGGCTGTGATAATTACATCCTTCTGCAGACACTTCCAAATTTATCTAACATTTGTTGCCGGCGGTGGTCTTTTCTGAGACTGTTAAAAAAATTCATCAATATTGTTATACAGACAACAGAGAAACAAAAGTCAGTAGCACCCTCACCTGATATTCAGCATCAAAGTTATCCACCACTTTCACATATGGCAAAACACCTGCAGGGAACAGAAAGAAACAGTGCTATACTATACAGTGTGCATCTATTAGAGGAAGTCAAAAATTATCGTCACTTTTGACACATTTGGCGAGCGGTTTTTCTCTCCAGATGTTATTAATTTTCCCATACTGTTGAACACATTTTAGGCTATATCTCTTTTTCATCTTTACTGCACTTCTGCCATAATCTGTTATTATTTATCCCTGACAGAAGAAGCCTGTTACCTGCTGTAACATCTCTCATTCAGTTTCATGCTTACAGCTAGCATTACTTTTTCATTGCTAATTATCATAGTGGTTGGAAAAAAAATTAAATCCAAATTCTGCAATGCCCTTGTTTATTTAAAAAAAATAATAAACACCTGATAAAAGTGGTGAACATTCAAGAAGGCTAAGAAATAACAGGAATGGCTGACACTCGCTGGTATCTACATTTGTAAACTGTCACTAGACTGTGTGTGCCTTTTGAGGACGCTGTAGTCAGGAAAGTCGTGAGCCTAAGGATTTAGGGCCACATGACTAGCGCTGTTGCCACAAACTGTGCAGTTACCTGATGCTGTAACTTCTCCTCGTCACTGCTGTCAACAGCTATAACACATAGAAGATGGTACTCTAATGGAGACACTCAGTGGAAGCTTGCAACAACAAAGGCACTGAAACAGGAACAAACTGACTGAGAAAACAAGGATGTCCAAGAGAAAGCATGAGACCACCACTGCTGAGAAAGGCTAAAGGTGCTGGACTGGATTCAATCTGTGATATGGAGAGGACAGAACAGAATGCAAGAAGAAACTGCGAGCCCTATGTGACATGGCAGCCGTCGTGGTGCTGTGGCTAGATGCTCGCCTGCAGATTGAAAGGTCATGGGTTTGAGTCCTGACAGCACTGAATTTTTTTCAAAAATGACTTTGGCTCCAAAGTCGAGGCAGCCTTGAATTGGTCACAGGTGCATTCCTAGGAAATAAAGCTTTCAGCATGATGTTGCTCACATCACTCACCTAGTGCTGATTGGTCTATAAAATATAGGTCTAGCCCTATTTGTCCGATATGCGTAGAGGAGTGGAAAAGGGTCCTTTTCTTTACCTTAAAAAAAAGTCTCATGTGACGTAATAAGACTCACCAAGAAGATGATGATGATGACTAGGCAAGGTTACTTGCTCAACTAGGTTTTATAGCCAATACACTTCCTTCTGTGTTGTGTTTTATTTCTAGCAGGTAAACACAAAGAAATGAAACACCACAGTTCTCTATTCTCACCTGTAATACCCTCAGATAGGCCCTGTAGATCTACATAATACAGCCTGTTGACAGGGTCACAGCCTTCTCTTGGGGTCAGCAGCAGGTATCGGCCACAGTCACTCACCTCAGCACCACTGAAATTGAAACACATGTTCCGTCTGACGAATTTCACTTTCAAAACATACAATCCTGTTAACTCTCCTCATGAATTGCATCTGTCATTTTAGGAGAGTGTATCCAAACAGTGAAAAGTTGGAAAATGCAATGGTACAGACATGTGATAAGATCTAATGGCCTCTTAAACACTATACTACAGGGTTCAGAAGAGGGGAAGAGGAGAAAAAGCAGATTAAGAAAGACCTGGATACAGAATTTGACTGACTGGACTGGTCTTAGGCGTGCAACCACAAAGTCCACTGCATCTGACCGTCAAAGATGGAAGCAGCTGATCGGACAGTCAACAGCAACTTGTCACCTAACCACACCCAGTGTTACGGGTTGTGATAAAGTATCCACACCAATTGTGTGGCCTCTCTCTAGTCTCATAAGCTATAACTCTAATGCAGTAAATCTGACTTGCACAGCCCTTTTTAGAATCAATTTTTCTATGAAAGCGCTGCTCAAGCCTACCAGACAGTGTCTTCCAAGATAATGATGTTCTGAAGCAATCTTATGGAGCCAAGAAACGACAAGAGATATTCAACGGATTTAAAGTAAACAAATGTGCAATGCCAGTGCAATGAACTCAACTATGACCAATATGACATCCCAAAACTGCCATTTTATAAAATGAAGAAGATTTTGTGCAATAAATCCATGTCATTGGAACTTGGGAAATGAATTCTCACATGCTACATAGAGTCAGTTTTGCCCGGCTCTCTAGCGTAGTTGGTTAAACCTGACATCGCGGTGACCGGGTGACGAACTCCTTGTGGTCCGAGTTCATTAACGGGGGTAGGCAGAAAAGCCACATTTCTCCCAGATTTACGGTACCTATCATGGAATCAAGGCCGAAGGGCTGCGATATTCATAGTACTGAGCCAAAGGGTTAACAACTCGTGGTTTCTGGATATTTAAAAAAAAAAAAAAATAACAAGAGCCAGTTTTAACATATGGTTGTGAATCCTGGACAATTGATAAACAACTTGAGGTCTCGGAGATGTGGTTTTACAGAAGAATCCTTAGAATTCCTTGGACAGCAAACAACAGCAAACCAGATGTTCTGAAAGAGGCGAGTGCTGGAAGACATCTTATCACAAACATGAGAAAGAGACAGTCATCAATTGTTGGTCATTTTATGAGAAGAGGGAGACGGAACATGTCACCACTGGAAAGATCTGTGGAAAGAGAGACAGAGGAAGACGGCGCCAGAAGATTCTTGACAGTCTTTCGTTATGGCATGGAGGAGTATCAACACACAAACTGACACACACAATTGCGTAGTGCAGATTGCAGATTGTGGAGAGGCATGATCACCCACGCCAGTTGGTAAGGCACCTGACAATGATGATGATCACAAATACACACAGTATTGTACAAATGTCGTATTTTCTACAGCAGTTACAGGGCCCACAGGTAAGGCATGCAAAGCAATTTTCACTTGCTAATTTGTTATCTACCAATTCAAAATCATATCTCCTAGTAAACCTCTTTCATCATTATCTTAGTTTTTCCACTGTTTTCAGCAGTCAGATTACTCTGCTGCTGCAAAAAAAAAAAATAAAAAAAAAAAAAAAACCCCACTCACATCATCCACTGAGGATGCTCAGGTGTTTCGGCCACTAAAACATCCTCCTCTTGACTGGTTCCCAGTTTATGATAGTACAACTTCTGATGCAAGCTGGAGGTTGTCTCCGTCCCATCAGCTTTTCCTTGTTGCTTTGGGTAACGCTGGAGAAACCAACAACAGAACCAGTAAAGCTCTTATCAGGGTTACAAGCTAAAGAGGTCAATTGTATCACATGTTTATGTAGGGTCAATAGGTTTAAAGACGGCTCTAAAGTTGTTTTATTTTCATAACCCTCTATCACAAGTGCTGCTTGGTGACCACCTTACTACAAGGCTAGCTTGATGATTGTTTCAACATTCTTCTCAAACATCATATCTCTGCTACTGCATCCATTTTCTTCTTCCTGTCATCACTCATTGTCACCCATTCATTGGAACAGGCCAATGTTTCAGTCACAGAATTTGATTACTTGGGCACAGTATTACTGCTTCCTAATTCTTTTGATCCCATAAGCTTTTGCTCAAAAATCAGAATAGATTTAACTAAATACTGCCATGAAAATGATACCATTTGATGTGTTTGTTGCAGGAATGAACAATTAATTAAAGATACCTCTGTTGTTGCCAGATTTATTTAGTATACACTAACCCAAACCTAAATAAAAGAAGACACTTGACACGATGTTCGAGACATGTGGGGAATAGTCACTAACACATCATGCCTTTTTTTGGCACTGAATGAGTGAATGCCGTTATTACTTATGTTTGTAATTAATCATTGGACATAGTGATTAACTTCCCAGAGTGGTGGATTACACACACACAACAATGATGTATTAAGAGCCGCAGCAGTTGCAAACTCACTCATTATGATCATAAAGACAGAGCAAATGGAATGTATAGAACACATCAAGAGAAAAGGTGAAACAGAGAAATGTGTCTTATGCGGGAACATACTAGACAAAGAGACAGAGATAGACAAATAATGATGTGTATGGCAAGCTCAATAAGTTGGGCAACAAATAATAACATACTGGTTTCATCCAAAAAAGACATAACAGAACATATTGTAAAGTCATAATCAACCAAATTTACTCCAGATAAGACAAATGAATAAGAAAAAAAATAAAGGATTGAACCAAAAACATCTTACATTGTAGAAGAAGCCCTTGTGGTCATGCATCCAGGCCATACTTGAGAACTTGACCTGTTCTATTACATCCGGTAAATCCTCACCAGTTGGGGCACTCTTAAACTATCCGATAGATACAAATAAATGTCAGTAATCCAGTGTTTTTTTTTTTAATCAACATTTTAATATTTCAACAAGTTTTAAAATTAACCTGTACTGAGGCCGATGCAGCCTAAAATGAGTATCAGAAAATGTCTTACTTTCTCTTTTATCGCGTCAGGTGTTGATGGAGATTTGAGGTTCTGCTTCTTGATTTTGTTTTTTAGCCACCTCGACTATAGACACATTGTGCTGTTGTAAAGTTTCTCTTATGTTATCTTTCCATGGTAGTTGATCTACCTCTACTCTTTTCGTGTATGCCTTCAATGGTATGTCGTCACATGGCATTCTCTCTAAGTACGCAAACCATTTGATTTCTTTGAATGTAATTTAGAATCAGTTTTATGCCGACGTGTTCTCTTGTGACCCCACTCCAGATTTTATCTCTTCTCTCACTCCTGCAGCTCTTCTTAGACATCTCACTTCCATGGTTACTAAATTTATTTTCTGGACCGCTGTGAGTGACCAAATCTGACACTAACAGCATAGGTTTGGAATGAATATGGTTTGTCTGAGATCTTTCTTTGTGCTGAATGATACTGTCATGTGTTGTAAGAGGGAGTTACTTGTCCCAATATTTTTGCCTGTTTTACTGCACCTGATGTTAATTTCTTCTTCTAATTGACCATCTTCCTGTAAAACTGTTCCCTGATATTTAAACTTAGATGCCTGTTTAATGCCTTTGTACTCTACTGCTACATTTGGGTTCTGCTTCTTTCTTCCTATTAACATTACATCTGTCTTTTCAGTGTTGATTCTCATATTATTTCTTTTACAATCTTCATTCACGGATGTGAGATGTTGCAATTAGATGGCTGTATCTGCAACCAGGGCCTGGTCAGCAGTAAAGAAAAGAGTAAATCGTTGATGTTAGTGATATTTTCGTTCAATGGCTTGGCATCCTTGCATATATTGTCGATGTATGCGAGAAACAGCAGTGGGTGATAAGACACATCCCTGTCTTACTCTGGATGTTACAGTAAATGGTTTAGATGTTACCTGATTTATTTTCACCACATTTTTATAATCTCTACATAAACTTTCGCAAACTTCGATCACCAGAAGGATAGATGGGGGGGGGGGGGGGGGGGGGTTTGTAAAGATAGCCTACATACATCACCAAGTGGATGCTGAGAGGATGTTCAACATTCTGGCATTATGGAAGAGGAGATCCCCTGTATAAAACATAACTGACAGTACATGAGACAGAAGGCGGCAGAAAGACATGACATGACTTGTTACATGGCAGGTATCATATAAAGACACTAACAAATAAATAAAACATACCTTTATTGTGACCCAGTCGGAGCCGCTGGAGCTAAGACCATATGCAAAAGTTGATCCATCTTCGGTGAAAGCTGTACCTCTGAGAGAGACAGTGCCATCTGCAGACAGAGCATTCGGATCCAGGAACACACGAGGTTCAGAATGCAGTGAATCCTGGACGTAAAAGACACTGCAACAGACAAAAGAGAATTCATTCATACTTCTACCATCAAGTGCAGATGTAACCCCAAATCATAATTTACAAATGAAGATGACCTCAAAACAATTCCCGTGCATCTCTGTTGGTCTCATCTGGGGGGGGGGGGGAGGAGAGGAGAAGGGGGGGGGGAGAGGACACACCGATGGCCTTTCTTAAAAGCATGGTGTAAACAGCGACTAATTGAGTATTTTTTTTATCCAGATGTATGAGCGTATCTGCTGAGGTAAGGAACTAAAAGTCTGCATATAGCTTGGCCACATCTGTAAAACGGATGTGCACACAAAATTCAAGTTCTCAATCAAGACTGAAGTTCAGAAGCTGACATAATCTGCTGGAATTTACACAAGGTTAATGTCCCAATGATATGGTCATCTTAGTTTTACACCTATATTTGTCAAAGACAAATTAGAACTTAATGGATGATGTGATAAAATCACGGCTGTCAGTTTTACTTTCCAGGACCTTTCCTGGTGTCCCTTTTAGGCTCAGTCGACCTGGAAACCCAGGACAGTTTTGAAACAAATCTGCCTCTGTGCTATTTGAACCCTAAACGTTTGGGTCGGTAGGTGAGCAAATTGTTAATGGAACCAGGACAATATATCCCATTTGTTTCAAGATGTGGAAACAGACGCTATAATTTACTTAATCTGTTGACATGTTTTTTTAATGACTATGCAGTGCTTTGTATCCATTACTAACTATGGAAATGTTATGTGGCAAAGCCCCAATTTTTCCCACAATGTTTCGCTTTCACCACTATCTGAAAGCCATGAGAAGGCCTTTTCTTTAAGCCACCCACTGGGAATTAATCCCTGGTAAATGTTAAGGAATACATTGTGAAACCATTGCTGCAACATCAAAGACAAAGATCTGACCTTTCTTTCATGACTATGTATAGCGTCTCTTATCTATCACTATCATAGTTGTGTATCTCTCCCCCCCACTTTTTTTCCCTTCTCCTATCTTTAAACTCCTAATGGAACACAGATTAACATGAAAAAGAAGAAGAAAAGAAGAAGATAATGATGATGATGATCAAGACTAACAACTGAAAGCAAATAAGTCTAGGACTGAAAAAGTTAATAACGGACAAAGACAAAGTCAACACATACCTTTGATTCTGTAACCCAGAGTTGTGGTTGTAGTAGTAATGTTCTCCATGTTTCTTAGGACAGCCATACTTGGGATAGTCCCAAACCTCTGTGATCCTGCAAGAACAGTTTATTAAATATCAGCACACAATTCTTCAAACATATGGTCAATCTTTCACACATAAAGTTTATTGTTTAAATGGAAGCTAACAATACTGTACAAAATTACAAATTAAAGTCAACAACAGCGACTTCATTGCACCAGGTTTGATCCTATATGGCTGTCTAGCTCCAGAAAATGGCTAGTCAGCTACTGAATGTTGTCCAAAGCAGGCAGCACTCCAGCAATTATTCCTGGGAATCTCCATAAATATTGGCGTTCAGAGTACGAAGCAAATGACCTGACACCTTCCCCATGGAGACCCCAGATATTATACAAGAAAACTGTCAATTCAGCATGTTGCAACATTGCATGCTCAAACAAGTGTCAGGTGACAGACACTCAAGCCTGCATGTGGGCTTTTTTCCCTTCTCTTTTCATTGCTGTTTAAAGTTAGGGATGTGTGCACCTAGTTACACACTTCCTTAGTTCAAAGATGAGTGAGTCTGACTTTAGTAGGCATCTGTGCAAACTCTATTTCCTTCCTAGACAAATTCCATAGACATTAACATGTTGGGATCTCTACTTCTTCCTCTTACAATGTTGCCACGACAGTTGGCTTAAGGCCTACTCTGTGATTTCTTGTAACTTATTTGGGACTGCTAATGTTCAAGGGACTTTCAGCTGTTTACCACCATCATTAAGAACTAAACATTTGACCTTACTACTCAGTAAACCCATTAGATTACTCTGACAAAAAATCTCCCCTTTTCAAGTCTATTTTGGAAATGGAAGATTTGTTATCAGAATAATCCAATGAGAGCACCAGTTAGGTACATAAACTAGGTATTAAAAAAACACTTACAGGTTTGTCTCCTCCAGATGACAGACAGGTACAAAAACCTCACAGCTGCTTTTACTAGATCTAGACAGTGTTTACAACAATTTTATAAATCTGTAATGTCAGATCCTCCTTCTTCCTTTCATTGTTTTCCCCTCCTGGCTGCTACCTAACAGGTGTGACATCCTGAGACATACAAGTATCTCAACCTGGATGGCAGACAAACAAGGCAAAACCCAACTACCCTATTTAACCTCAAAAGAAATTAGAACTGGAGCAGCCACACACCAGGTGTAGCTTGCAGACTTGTGCAGGTAACAGTTGTCTAAATCTGGTCAAGTACAAAAATCTCGCAGCTTTCTCTACTCTAGATCTAGTTTGGTTATAAAATCCTTCTAGCTTTATCTTCTCTTGCCCCAGATGTCTGGTACACAATCTCACAGCTGTATCTCCCCTAGCGACAGATATCTGGTACACAATCTCACAGCTGTATCTCCCCTAGCGTCATATATCTGGTACACAATCTGACAGCTGTATCTCCCCTAGCGCCAGATATCTGGTACACAATCTGACAGCTTTATCTCCCCTATTGCCAGATATCTGGTACACAATCTCACAACTTTATCTCCCCTAGCGCTATGAACTGAAAGCAGAAAAGAAACCAAAGAGGAACCATGAACATTTCCTGCTGATGATTGCAACATCACCAGAACATGTGACCGCTGGAAAGATCTGTGGAAAACAAAGATACAGAGGAAGACAATGCCAGAAGATTCTTGACAGCCTTGTGTCGTGGGACAGATGGATATAGAATGATACATACTGCTGAAGATAGCAGACTGTGGAGATGTTTGACTGTCCATGCCAGTCAGCAAGGCACTTGATGACACTGGAAACTGATTGTGGAGAAAACAGAAAAAACAACAGACACTGAAGGAAAATAATAAGGATACCACTTACCTTTTCTGGATTTTATCTTTCACTGGGCAGGCATCAATAAATGGCCTGGAGATCTGGTTCTGTGCTTCGACAAAGGCTTTAGTTTCCTCAGAGTCTGGGTCTTCTAGCCAACGATATGGGTCTGGTATCTGAGAATTTTAAAATATAGAAAAAACATTATATTTACGACAGTATGATAAACAAATAAGAAACTTGGAGCCAGCTAGAAGAGATGAAACCTTATTACAATTTTGTTTAGAACAGGGTCTTACGATGGATCTTTGACCTATCAAAAATACAAACAGCAAAGAATAGAGAGATAGAATCAAACTCAATCAGAGAGGAACTGAGACAATGAGTCTAACGGCTGGGAATGCTGAAGAAGAAGCAGCAGCAGGAAAAGAAGCAGAAGAAGAAGGAGAAGGAGAAGGAGGAGGAGGTGTAAATAAACTAACATGTAATGATAGGATATATTTGTATGAGTGCGACATTAGTGTGACAGGCATG